TGTGGGGCCCACCTCATGTGAGTGGGCTGTGTAACTTCATGTGTACCAAGGCTGTATCACGAGACACTCCTAGTGGTCCCTCTCTCTGCAGTGCTAGCTTGCCCACCCGTGGAAAATTACAATATTCGATTTACATTGATTCATCTCCTATTTGTTCTTATACGAATTAATCTCTTTATTTATTTCAATATCAGTGCAGATCTATGATATTATATAATCATTTTTCTTGCAACATTTGATGGAAATTTCAATAAAATAGCAAAATAAAATAAAATTGTAATTTGAAATTGATGTTTAACTTTAATTACTTATAATTATTTAAATATAAATCACTTGCGGACAATAATATATTAACAATTTTTACAATTATAGCTCTAAAATATTATTTCTAATACTACAACCTACGCAGTACAATCCAACTACCAATTAACGCCGCCAAGTGGGGCGGCATTTCTCCGCCGTGGACTGTCCCACAATCTAACAACGTTGCCATCAAGAACCGTTAAGTCCAGGTACTGGTACCACCCCATATCTCCCATTTTCACAATCATCATCCTCTCCCAATCATCGCACCACCGCCCCCTTTTCTCATTCACCACCGCTTCACCACCGTTGTCACCACCCTCACCAGTCCTACACTCCTCCTCATCGCAATAATACAAAGTAAACTTGCCTTTCGTACTACCTTCTCTCTCTAAAACTCGGCAATTCGTATTTGAACCCGAAAAATGCTCAGTATCAAATTGAGTTGAAGAAACTGTAGCCACCTGACGCTCAGCCGCTACACCGTCATCCATCTTTAACGGCGACGATGACAAAGTCGACACGCCATCTGGGCTTCTGCCACGTGGAACCAAATTTGAAGATGATAAAGCTCTGATCCTCCAGAAGCTAACGGCGGCAGTTAAAACAGCAACCCACGGCCATATACTGTTAACGGCCGTCAATAAGCCATAGCTCGAGTTATTAAAAGCTAGAGCTTCAAGCGGAGAATCCAATGAGTTCATCTTCAACACCCCGCCTCTCTCTTTCTCTGTATCTCGTTATTTTCTCTCTCTATAAACTGAATTTAAGGTGGGGTTTTATAGAATTAACAGGTGAAATATGAGCCGTAAGATGAGATTTGAAGAAATTATCTGATTATAGATGCTGATCGGAAGGGTAGATGCCAATTGCTAATGTTTGATGTAATATTAATGGGTTTTGCCATTTGTACTGGACGTTTACGTACATGACCCCACCTCTACCCTCACAACGAGGGATCCGCCCAAGAATAAAATAATGGCCGAGCCCCCATTGTGAAAGGGGGTGTGGGGTCGTGTAAACGGCCGTGTACCTGTAGCAAAACTCAATATTTATTTATATCGAAATTTTCAAAAGAAGTGGACATATGAAGTGACATACGCAAATGACCGCAAGTTGTTTTTGTACTGTATAATTAGGCCATGTTTATCCACATTCTTTAAAAAAAAAAAATTGTATTATTTCAATACTCATTTTTCAACCATACAATCTTTAATAAAATAATATTACACGTAAATTCAAAATTTTTCATTCTTTTTTAACCGCATATTTTTCGTTACATTACTATTTAAAATGCATTTTTCTTTAAGAATGTGCATCAAACAGGGACTAGTTGTGGGGAAGATGAGAGGCATGGAGTTATTTTATTGGTTTATTGTAAATCACGTCTGTCATCTTATACTCTAATTGTTACTTAGCTTTACCGTATTGGGGGAGGTTAATTTTTCTAGAACTCACATGTTCATACATTTGCAGTCAAAGCAAAGTTACTATTTTTTACCCCTAATATGTCAAACGTGGTGGTGATGGGGGTGCGGAGCGAGCTCCCCTTGTATGCAATAATCTGGTGATAAACCTCTCATTTTTAATTTAGTGTCATTTGAATCCTACGAATTTTTTTGGCCATCTTTCTTTTTGACGAACTCCTCTTGCTATTCTACTGATTAGAAGCATATAGTAAAAGTATCGACCTTGCCTAAGATAAGTGTGCGGGAAGACAAAGAAGGGCTAGGCATGTCCTTGTTCTAGTAGTAGGGAAAGTGCATTTCACGACCAAAACTAATGCCCTTTTAGATAGAATCCATCTAAAAAGACATTTAAGCCAAAATTGAAAAGGTTTCGAATAATTTGCTTTCTATTTGAAACGTTCGAGGCTAAAAACTGCGATGGACAAAGATTTGAGATCATTCGTGACAATTTTCCTTGCTCTTTTATCATGATCCAATGTCAAATTTTACAGGTCTAAATAATTGTTTGACCGAGCTTTTTGTACATCGTGTTTGGTTGATTACACTTGTTGAACTAGATCAAAAAATATTTATATTCATTAAACCTGTTGATATCCGACCTGGGACCTCACCAATACGAGTACCGACTTGGAGGTAATTCGACCTCAACAGAGCAAGTACCGACCTGCGACATCATTAAATATAGTTGATTATATGCTTTAAGCTCATACTAATATGAGCTCGGATATGTGAAGTCAGCTCGGTTATGTAGTTTATCAAGGCTTAAGGAGACATAATGATTAAGGATCACTGACAGAATATATAACCTACCAATCAGCAGAGTGCACATGGAAATGTCTTATGTCAGCGCTCACATAATTCTCTAATCAGAAGTGCTAGCATCCCCCACTAAGTAATGTATTAATTGTTGGGGACTACCTGTAAGGATAAAATCATGATGACCTGACAAGCCGAGCTCGACAACCAATCAAGAGGTACCATTGGCGTACCTTCCTGCTCGGTACTTAGTTGATGTGACGTGGGAGGGCCAAGTTGCTTGATTATAGGCCTATAAATAGATGTTATTGGAAGGAGAAAAGGTATCCCGAATACTTTGCTTCAATTAATACAAGCATTATCATTCTCCCACTATCCAAGAAGCCAAAATTACTCCCCGCTCGACCTCGTCGTGAGCTATTTTTATCAACCTCAAAGAATCGATGAATAGTCAACAGAAAGCCTTGTAGATAACCTATTTTTGGAGGCCAATTGTCTGTTTTGGAAACCTATAAATATGACTAAATGGTTCCCTAATGGGAGGTGGGAAGGACATACAATATATATTCTGCAAGCTTTTCTTTGTAATGCATATTTTTCTCTTTTTCTACTAATTCAGCAATTTATCTCTTACAAATCCTCCATTAAGTTGGCTTGAATTTTGTACATACAATTTTCGACGTCAACAGAACTTAATCGATTATCTTGATTGACGAACTGATTATATCAAACCCCTATCTAGATCTACTGCAAAAGTAAAATTCGAATCAAAATGAATAATTAGTTTTAATAGCTTATTTTATAGGATTCACAACTTTTCAACTACAAATTCTATCAATTTTTAACAAAATTTACTAAAAAATTGATTATTATTTTTTATCTAAAACAAACGGCTAAATATGATTATCAACGCACTTCCTGATTAATTAATAAAAAAGATGGAGGGTTTTTATTAGTTTTCAAGTAATGCTAAATCAAGCTGGCAAAGCATTGCCCCTAAATCATATTATGAAGAATTAACACGCAATTATGTGTACTAATAATATAAAAGAAAAACATATATTAGTATTATGCTTGCCACTCGGATTTTTATTTTATTTTATTTTATTTTTTTGAGTCATGCCAATAAGCACCTATCTTGTTAATAGCAAGATGACTTATCCATGTAGTATACAACTTGTTTAATGATAGATTTTTGGGTCGGGTTTAAAATGAATTATTTTTTAGGGGGAAAAAAAGAAAAGAACGAATTTAACCTTGTTATTACTGATGAAAAAAGGTTGACCTTTCAACAAGGCGACATAGATTAGAAAACGTGATAATTTAAAATTAAAATAATCGATAACATGATACGTTTGATCTATACAAAAGAAATCACATAATGTTCAAAGTGGTCGCTATCTCTATAATTCTAACTTGCCTACCTACAAAAAATGACAATATTCGATTTACATTGAAATTATCTCATATTTCTTCTTATCCGTATTAATCTCTTTATTTATTTTAATACTATTGCACATCTATGATATTATAATGATCATTTTTCTTGTAACAGTTGATGAAAAATGGTTAAAATGCGCAAAAAAGAAAAAGAAAAATAAAAAAGAGCCAGCCATTAACAGGTTCATGTATTTCTGTTTGCTGCGGCGGCGCGTGTTAGGTAGAAACGGGAGCGAAAGTGGGATTGTGCATTTGCTACAATATAAAGAGTCAGCTCCACTAGAAATAAAAGAATCTCTAATTATGGAGTAAAATAGAGATTTTGATATTCAAATGGTTGGAAATCACTTCAACGAAGAGATGCAAATTGTATTTTTTGGCAAAAAAATGTAAAAGGGGACGTAATTTTTTTTATATTCCCAACTTTTGCTTGCGAAAAATTTAAATTTAAATACACCAGAAGGTAAATAATGATGCAAAAGTGATATTATCGATATGAATTTATAGCCAATTTTACGCTATCATACAAAATGCTCTAATGTTACACAATTTTTGCAGAGTTCTAAAAAATTATTTTTCTCGTACTACAAGTCTACAACCACAACCTACAACCTACACAGTACAATACAAACTACCACCCAACGCCACCAACTGCAGCGACGTTTCTCCGCCGTTGACTGTCCCATAATCTAACAACGCTGCCATTAAGAACCGTCAAGTCTTGGTACTGGTACCACCCCATATCCGCCATTTTTACCATCATCATCCTCTCCCAATCATCGCACCAACGTCCCATTCTCTGATATGCCACCAATCTAGCACCGTTTTCGTCACCGTTAACACCACCTTCACCCGTCCTAAATTCATCCTTTTCACAATAATACAACGTAAACTTCCCTTTCGTACTACCTTCTCTCTCTAAAACTCGGCATTTCGTATTTGAACCCGATAAATACTCGGTATCACATTGTGTTGAAGAAACTGTAGCCGCCTCACCGTCACCAAGACCCTCAGGTGCCTCCGCCTCCGCCACCACACCGTCGTCCATCGTTAACGGCGACGATGAAGAAGTCGAAGCGCCATCTGGGCTTCTGCCACGTGGAACCAAATTTGAAGATGATAAGGCTCTGATCCTCCAGAAGCTAACGGCGGCAGTTAAAACAGCAACCCACGGCCATATACTCTTAACCGCCGTCAATAAGCCATAGCTCAAGTAATCAAAAGCTAGAGCTTCAAGCGGAGAATCCAATGAAATCATCTTTAGCACACCACCTTTCTCTATCTAATCTCGCTGTTTTCTCTCTCTAGAAACTGAATATAAGGTGGGATTTTATAGACTTAACATATGAAATATGAGCCGTACGATAAGGTTTGCAGATAGTATCTGATTATAGATGCTGAGAATCGAAAGGGTAGATGCCGATTGGCAATGTTTGATCCAATATTTAAACCAGAATTTTGTTAACAAGTGGACATGAATTGTCTTGTGCTAATAATTAGCTCGTTACAACACCCATTTATGCGGTGTTGAATGATCGATTCAATGAAAGGTGTAATTTGATGATTCATGTAATTATACCTTTTATTTAATATCTAGATTAGTGTTTTCGTTAAGGGATAGAATTTCATATCGGGAAAAAAAAATGTAAATATAAACCAACTTATAAAGAATTGAACTATTTCTCTTAATAAGATTGACCTTTTAAGATAGAATCTCACTTTTTAACATGGTACCAGAGTCCATTAAACTATAACGAGCAATTCGATCTTGTTAAAACTCCAAAAATGAGCATACAGATTTTATGATTGGTCTGTTTAAACGAGCCACTATCTTGCGGGAGCATGTTTTGGGGATATAATTCCACATTGAATAAAAATGTAAACATAAACTAAGTTATAAATTACTGGATTACTACTCCTAATAAAATTAACAATTTAAGATAGAACTCCAATTTTTAACATCAACAGTGATAAATAATATTATTATATGTGTAATAACTTGATCGTGTGGGCGTGGGTGTGGGTGTGGGTGTGGGTGTGGGTGTGGGTGTGGGTGTGGGTGTTATTTAATTGGTTTGGGTCATTTACTTGGACTCTAATTATTCCTAGCTTTATCGTGTGGGGGTGGTTAATTTTTCTAGAACTCATGTATTAATACATTTGCAATTAACTACTATCAATAATATGTACCGAATATGGACTAAATAAAAAGCATTCTTGAACGCTGAATTTCGTTCTGTGTCAATTAACTGTCTTAGAGACTTAAAAAAACGTTAAATACATCTTATTTGCAATTACTACTTTAGATAGGCCAACTAGTCGTTTTAATAGTCTCCCCAATGTCGTCCACTAGATACAATAACAAATTCAGGACCAGATTACAAGCCAAACCAATATGTTTAAAAAAAAAATTATACATGAATTTTCTTTTATTACACTAAAAAAAATGAAGTTGACTGGGGGATTGGACTTGACCGAGCTACGAGCCGACCAATCCCCCCTACATCCAAAATATATAAACGATTTTTCTTATTTTTTGTCTCTATTTTGTGGGATTATTATGGGAAGTTAAACGAAGTCGAAATATAATATTTTTAATACCATTTCGAAATGCTTATGACCTAGTTTTTCTCATCTCTAACAGCGTGCGAAACGACCAACCGTAGCGAAA